CATATCTTTTATCCACTTTTTTACTGGGTGGTTTGATTATTTATTTATTCATTTATTTATTGCTGATTGGTTTGAGTTCTTTAGAGATTCTGGTTATGAGTCCTTTATCAGATGTGTAGCATATAGGTATTTTCTCCTGTTCTGTAGGTTATCTGTTCACTCTGTTGATTGTTTCTTTGGCTGTACAGAAACTTTTTTAACTTAATCAAATGTCAGTTAAATTTTTGTTGTTGCCTTGATTGGGGTTTTCTTTTTCTTTTTTTTTTTTTTTTGAGACAGAGCCTCAAGCTGTCCCACTGGGTAGAGTGCTGTGGCATCACAGCTCACAGCAACTTCTAATTCCTGGGCTCAAGTGAGTCTCCTGCTTCCGCCTCCCAAGTAGCTGGGACCACAGGTGCCCGCCACAACGCCTGGCTATTTTTTAGTTGCAGCCATGATTGTTGTTTGGTGGGCTCAGACTGGATTCGAACCTGCCACCTTAGGTGTATGTGGCTGATGCCTTAGCCACTTGAGCCACAGGTGCTGAGCCAGATTGGGGTTTAAGAGTTTTTCCAACATTTTCTTCTAGACTTAGAGCTTCATGCCTTAGGTTTAAGTCTGTTGTCCATTGTGAAGTAATTTTTGTGAGTGGTGAGAGGTGTGTGTCCTGTTTCAGTCTTCCACATGTGGCTATCTTTTATTGAATAGACATTCTTTTCCCCAGTGTGTATTTTTGAAGGATTTGTATGAGGATGGTTTTTGTATCTGGGTTCTCTGATCTGATCCGTAAGTCTGTGTCTTTGTTTTGGGGAAGGAACCATGCTGTTATGCTTGTTATAGCCTTGTAATATAGCTTGGAATCTGGTAAAGTGCTGCCTCCCAGTTTGTTCCTATTGCTTAAGGGTACCTTGCTATTTCCTAGATCTGTGAAAAGTGACATTGGTATTCTAATGGGGATTGCATTGAATCTCTAGATCATTTTGGGTGATATAGGCATTTTAACAATGCTGATTCTGCTGATTCATGAGTATGATATGTTTTTCCATCTGTTTATGTCTTCTGCAGTTTTCTTCCTTAATGTTTCATAGTACTTTCTGTAGAGGTCTTTTACCTCCTTAGTTCAATGTCTTCCTAGGTATTTTATTTTCTTTGTTTCTATTGTGAAAGGTGTTGAATAGAAGTGGTGATAGTGGGTGACCTTGTCTGGTTCCAGTTATAAGCAGGAATGCTTTCAGTTATTTATTCCTTCATCAGTATGATGTTGGCTGTGGGATTGTCATAGATGGCCTTTATGCTTTTGAGGTAAAATCCCATCCGTGCCTATTTTGTTAACCCTTCTTATAAAAGGGTGCTGACTTTTGTCACATGCTTTTTGTGCATCTAGCAGGAGGATCATATGGTTGTTGTTTTTGCTTCTATGTAGTAAATTAATGTTTTTTTCTTTTTTTCTTTTTTGAAGACAGTCTCACTTTGTCGACCTTGGTAGAGTGCTGTGGCATCGCAGCTCACAGCAACCTCTAACTCTTGGGCTTAAGCAATTCTCTTGCCTCAGCCTTCCAAGTAGCTATGTGGTGAATTATGTTTATAGATTTGCATGTGTTAAACCATCCTTACATCATTGGGATGAAACTCAGTTGGTCATGGTGGATTATTTTTTTGATGTACAGCTGAATTCAGTTTGCTAGGATTTTACTGAGAATTTTGCTTCTGTATTCATAGGGATATTGGCCTGTAGTTTTCTTTTTTATTGTGTCCTTTCCTAGCTTTGATATCAAGGTGATATTGGCTTTGTAAAACGACTTGGGGAGGATTCCTCCCTTCTATGTTATGGAATAATTTCTACAGAATAGGTACCAGTTGTTTTTTGTAGGTCTGGTAAAATTCAGATGTGAAACCATCTAGTCCAGGACTTTTTTTAAAATTAAATCATAGCTGTGTACACTGATGCAATCATAGGGTAGTCCAGGACTTTTTTATTGTTAGAAGTATTTTTTATTGCTGCTTCAATTTTAGTATTTGATATTGGTCTTTTCAGGAATTATATTTCTTCCTGAATTAGGCTAGGGAGGCTGTGTGTTTCTAAGAATTTATCTGTTTCCTCCACATTTTCAAGTTTGTGTGCATAGAGATTTTTATGGTATTCAGATGTTTTATATTTCCATGGTATCAGTTGTGATTTCTCCTTTTTCATTTCTGATTGAGCTCATTAGAGTCCAAGGGACCTACTAATTTTGTTTATCTTTTCAAAGTACCAACTTTTTTATTAATCTTCTATTACCGATTTCATTTATTTTGAAATTTTTCATTTCATTGTTGCTCTGATCTTGGTTTTTGTCCTTTTCTTCTGTTCGGTTGGGATTGGTTTGCTCATCCTTTTCCAGTTTCTTGAGATGATTCATTAGATTTGATTTATGATTAATCTTTCTGTCTTTTGAATGTGGGCATTCAAGGTTAGGAATTTTCCTTTCAGGACTGCCTTAGTTGTATCTCACAGATTTTGATAACTTGTGTCCCTTTTATCATTTAGTTCAAAGACTCTTTTGATTTCCATCTTAATTTCCTCCTTGACCCAACTGTCCTTCAGCAGTAAGTTGTTTACTTTCTAGATTTTGTGTAGAGATGAGTGTTTTGTTGGAGTCGGTTTCTAATTTTATTCCACTATGGTCAAGAAGATACATGGTATAATTTATATTTCTGTAAATTTGTTAAGACATGTTTTGTGGCCTAGGATGTGATCAATCTTAGAGAAAATGTTCCATGGGCTGAGGAGAGGAATGTATATTTAGTGGTTGGGGGGTTGAATGCTCTATACATGGCTGCTAGGCACATTTGTTATAGAGTTTTGCTTAAGTCATTGTTTCTTTGTTTTCTGTTTGGAGGATCTTTCCCATTCTGTCAGTGGAGTTTGCAGTCCCTGACTATTCTGGTGCTGCTGTAATTATTTTGTTTAGAGCAAGTATGATTTGCTCTATGAACCTGGGCACACATGTTAGGTGTAAATACACATCTTCCTGTTGCTCCCTTTGCCTTTATATAATGACCATCTTTGCCTTTCTTTACTTTTGTTGATTTGAAGTCTGCATTACCTGAGATGAGAACTGCTACAGCAGCTTTCTTTTGGTTTCTATTTGCATGGAATATTGTTTCCTGTCCTTTCACCTTGAGTTCTGCAGGGGAGGTGGGAGCGTCTTGCAGTTTAGTTTGCTGTGTGCCAGCAGGGCAAGTAGGACCTTCCAGTGCCCTGTTCTCTTGTTCCACTGGCATCCTCTAATCTTGTTATATGTATTAGCTTGTTGCCTTTTTTCCCCCACACTGAGTGCCCTGCATTGCTTCTCTGTGACTTTATAGTGCTGCTTCAGAGAAGAAAATCCATATGTAGGCAGCTGCACTTTTCACTTTTTTTTTTTTTTGAGACAGAGTCTCAAGCTGGCACCCTGGGGAGAGTGCTGTGGTGTCACAGTTCAAAATGACCTCAAACTCTTGGGCTTAAGTGATTCTCTTGCCTCAGCCTCCCAAGTAGCTGGGACTACAGGCGCCCACCACAATGTCTGGCTATTTTTTGGTCGTAGTTGTTGTTTGGCAGGCCTGGGCTGGATTCAAACCGCCAGCTCTGATGTATGTGGCTGGCACCCTAGCCATTGAGCTACACGCACTAGGCCCAATTTTCACTTCTTTCCTTGGGAGTGGGGTGCTAGCAGGCTGCCTCTAGTCTTTTTTTTTTTTTTTTTTTTGAGACAGAGTCTCAAGCTATTCCCCTGGGTAGAGTGCCATGGCATCA